TATTGGCTTTCGGAACACAAGCTTTTAACGGGCGTCCGTACGTCATTCTAACCGGGTGGTTTTTTTGTGTCGATAAAAAAATAAAAAATAAAATCCCCATAACGTATCGTTTTTGCGCTGGGGCGTGTACGCGTGTTATGATGTAAAGGTGTTGAATATTACGTACATGGGCGTCGTCATTTGTGGTGTTCCATCGATATATACACGGCTATGAATCGCTGTCGATTTACGTATTTGGGCCGCGTCGCGTTTCGGCGAACGATAAGTGCTCGTTTTCGGTATGTCAAATCCGTTACATTTTTAGAACCGACAACGCCGAGCAGTGGTGTTTCCGCAATACTGCCCCGGAAACTCTTTTGTTCCTGCCGGCAAAAGGGTTAGGTGCACGTGCTCGAACATAGGTCGTCGGGTCGAAATGTCCGACACCGATCTCAATGAATTAACGAATTATGCAGACTGCCATATAACTGCACTCGATGTCTGTCGATAAGACACGAACAACTAAACGAATACCGCAACATTTGTCGTGATATCCATTCAAATGCGAACTGCATCATTTCGATTTTTATCCGTGCAATACCGAACATTTACAAAACCAACAATTTAGTTTTACCGGTCGAACTGTTTTCCTTGCTTGCTTGCGACCGAGGCCTCGTTAAAAATAATTTTTTGGATTTTAGGTAAACAAGCGTATGTAACATTTTTTGAAACCATAAACTAGTGTCCAGAAACAATGGAATGCACCTATTAATGGGTGTATCGTTTTAGGAAATAAATATTATTGTGTACCGGGTTAACGGGAAAAGGGAAAACGATTTAATGAAACGAAAAAAAACCTATTGGATAGGATTTGAAGTGGAGAGCTCGAAAGCTCGATAAATATATATCCTTGCGCAAATCCGGTTCGACACCGAATACGTAGGATTAATTTTATTCAAAGACCTCACCAAGGGGAAATTATTACGTGCGTTTACAAACGCATTAATCAGTTTATTTGAAAATCGTTGGATTACCGTTTGTCCGTAAACGGTCTATACGCATACATGTATTAATTATTTAGTTATTTTACAAACCTACTCGTCGCATCGCGAACCTTTTCGCTCCAAAAATTCAACTATTCGAACAACGAGCGTCAGTTATTTTAACTGGGATTACAACTACGTGAAACCATTTAGTATTTAGACATTTATAAATTACCATTTCTGTTCATTTGATTAACTATAAATATATTATCTTAGATTTTGAAGAATACATTAGTTTTACCACTGTCATTCCGATCGTCATAACCACAAGGGCTGCATTTAGGGGGGGGGACAATGGCTACAACTGCCTCGGGCGTCAATTTTTTGGGGGTGCCAAAATATTGTTGTCAGAAATTTGCTCACTTGTGAATTATTGAACTTTTAAAATTATTTTGAAATTATTATTTTTTTTTTTTGTTTTTAATCACAGTCAGTGGCGAACAGAAGATTTTTGACAAGGGTGTCGAAAATATATATTTCGAGGTACCCACCTACCCCCACCAGTAAAATCTGAGTTTAGGCATAGTATAACTCTTATTTTTAAGTGTTTTTGGTTTTTTCTTACTAACAAAGATACTAAAATAGAACTTTTTAAATAAAACCTAATATTAATTACTTTTCAATTTTCTGGGTATTAATTTATAAGTTTGTATAGCATAATTTTTGGGATTGAGACATACTACTTATTCTCATGTGACGCTTTAGTTCTAGGGTAAACGTAATTAGTGTGTTGATTTGGATAGTTGAAAAATTGGTTAGTGTTAAACTAAACAAATATTCATACAAGTTCATACAGAATTAGCCATCCACCAATCCTCTGAAGGGTGTCAGTCGACACCCCAGACCCTCTTTGTGTGCGCCACTGTACGTAGGTATATACAATAGCAATTGTACTTGAAATTCACTAATTTTGAAATATTAAAATAAAATAGTAAGTGTATATTAATTATATTAACAACAGAATAATTATGTAGATGCGACGTAAATGTATAGTTTAACTATAAAAATATATATATTTCGAAATGGTGTAAAAATAAAAAAAAATAAAAAAAAAATAAAACATATAAAGATATTAATGATGTACTTTGCGTTCTGAAGATAAATTAAAACCTTGAAATTATTGATTTTCCAGTTAATTTGTGTTTTATATTATTTTCCATAAAAAATAATAGATTGACCAGAAATTGTATAACATTTTTATAGATAGTATTTGAATCTACAGTTTAGGTTCTTACAATTTTATGCTATTGCAAAATATTTTGTATTCAATTAAAAAAAAAAAAAAAAAAAAAAAAAACGTACACTACCCTGTTTGACAATAATCAACTATCTTGTGACACGTGAAGGGTGTTAGTAATCATGACCGAATTTAACTCAAATTGCTTTTTTATATTAATGAACAAAATAAGGGAGTGAAAAATCAAATATATTAATTTTTTTTCTTTGCCTATGACTAAGAGCCATCTTAATATAGGTTGTCTCAAAAAGATAAGTTATTGCGGCAATGCCGAACATCCACATGTGTTTAAACCATAATTGTTGACGTCTATACCCGCGTTTGTAATTTACGGGTGTGTAGACTATCGGTGTTATAATGATAAAAATGTTTTTTAAGAGAGGAATAAATAAGTATAATTTGTGTGCTATTGATTTAACTCAAGCCTGATGTTTAATTTTTTACACATTATTTCGATTTCAATTCAAACATGCAGCTTCGCGACAGGTTTCTCGTAGAGTTCGAACAGACTGTTCATCACAGAAATCGTCCAGGTATTTTTGACGTCAAACCTTCCCCCTGTGCATGATTTGAGTGATTTACTGGTGAACTGTACAACGAACATAATTCCTTGTTGCCTCTCTCGTACGATTCGATCAGCAGATGTTTCAAGTCGACGTCTTCCTTCGGTAACTGTTTATTTTTCCCCAGAGTGATCATACCCAACCAGTGGCCGAGGTTTATGATCAAGCCATTTATCGAAAAGGCTAGGGATTATTCCGTTTTTTTCCTAACAGGATCTAAAATCATAAATATTACATAATAATATTCCATCAGAGCACGATAAAAAATATTATGTTGTTAGTAAAAAATTTAATATTTGATCGCGTGATTAATGTAATAGTTGATTTTAATACTATACAATAACAAACACGAGATATTTATGCAGGTATTTTCTCCAACTTTTTTCAAGGTGTTCATCAGTATTAGTGAGTTCAACAGTTCGCTGTTTCAGCAATCCAAACAGCTCGAGTACAAATGTGGTAATCGAATTCGTTCTGCACTCGTTCCATGATTACGTGCCTCGAAAACCAGGGCAGGTACTTTTTGTCGATCAGATAAATAATATAATAAATATAAATATAATAATATAAATATAATATAATTAATATATTTATATTTATATTAATATATTATAATAATATAATACCCTTACAAGACAACTTTAAATATCTAAGCATAAATCTTGACAAAAACTAAATTGGGCATATCATATAAAAACTAAACGTAAATCCCTCAACTGGCATCTTCATACCGTGAGAAACATTTCACATTCCAAACTTCCACGGAGAACAAAAATTCTAATTTACAAACAAGTCATAAGACCAGCCATGACGTACGGGACACAAATATGGGGAACAGCTAAAAATTCCAAAATTAATAGACTCCAATTATTTCAATCTGTAAACTTACGAATTATAACTGGTGCCCCATGGTTTGTCAGCAATCAGTCCCTACATAATTACCTAAAAATTCAAATTCTTCCTAAACTAGCCCCTTAATACTAAAAAAACTACACTCAGCCACAACTAACCACCCAAATCCACTTATCTCCAACCTCCATATCAAACCCAATCAATTTATTACATCGTTTGAAACAAGTCCATGTGAAAATCGCGAAAGTAAAATAGCCAAAATAAAAATTGCGAAAAGTTACAATAGCAAAAATGTTAATAGCGAAAAGAAAGAAATTATTTTCGTGAGTGGGTATACCTTTATAATATAATAATACTAGATAATCAATAATGTAATTTTGTACTATTGCGTCTTGTATCATGTAATAAAGATAAGCCGTAGTTAAACCTAACCGCTGTCAAGGTTTATATACTATATATATATTGTGATCATTAGCCTAACTTAACCATAGTATGATGATGTATTTTATATACTTACACAAGTTAAGGAAAAATATCAAATTTAATTTTTATTTTAATAGTATTTTAATGTTGATTATTACTTATTATATTATAAAGATATATCCAGATATATTTCTTACTTTTCGCTATTAATGTTTTCTCGTTGTAAAAATATTTCGCGATTTTTACTTTTGCGATTTTAACTGGCACCCATTTAAAACGTCAATAGCCTAGAGATCAATTAAAAAACTAACTAATTTGAGTCATGCGATTTGAAGTGGTGTCACTGGACACTCCCTTCTATCAAGCATACATATTATTACCTACATTTATAAAAAATTACTTATTGTATTAATAACGTATACATATGGTAAATATTTTTTTTTAAAAAATAAAAAATAAAAACTGACGTATCAATATAAATATATCTGTATGTGAATATCTTATGACGTATTGCATTTCTAATAAATAACAACAAATTAACAAATATTACATAATATTTATTGAAAAAAAAATCATATACAGTAAATATAGGAGTTATAGAAATAATTTCAAAACATATATCAATCTACTTTGAATAAGTATTTTTAAAACAAAACATCAAAAATATCCTTTAATTGCATCGGAACAAAAAATGGAAAATCATAAACATTTTTACAATTAAAAATAAAAAGAAATACTTCAATTTTATGATGTGACAGACGGGTGTTGAGAAACTCAGAGTGTTACAAAAAAAGAAAGAAAGCATTCTCTTTTTTACTGAAGAATTGATAAAATTGCATCATTGAAATTTGCATTAGGCTTATTGTTTTTTTTTTTTTTTTTTTTTTTTTTACGGCGTATGTATGTATTCTATGTATTTTCACATTAGGCCAATTCGGTATATCATGTTATTTCCACTATTTTTTTTTTATGCTTATATTAGTCGTATCATCTAGAAAAAATAAAATTAACTATGTTGGTCCTTTACGTGTACATTATATTTCCATAAAAATTAAATATTACTCATTGTTCGGTTTGTTTGTTTGTTTTAGTTATTCACGTCTTCCACTAATTTTGTCTAATAAACAAGGACTTATTTTATTTAAAAATGTGTCTAATGGAAGGCAATACATCTTATTTGTCACCAACGTTCGACATAATGGACATTTGTTAATACTGTTGGTCCAAGTTTCGATACATTGTTGGCAAAACATATGTGAACAGTTTAGAACCGTTGGCTGCGGAAAAAAAATTAAGTTATGTATCTGCAATATTTCGATGAATACAATTTAATGATCCTGTATACTAGGTAAGCGATTTATTTTAGTTGTCTAGTCAATAATAATTCTTGAATGAAATTAAAGATGCATAGGTTTTCACAACACTAATATTTCCGCAGAGTCAATTTATTGATTGAAGAAGTATTTATAAAGATATTAGAGTAAATTTTAATTTAAAAAATAAAGCCATAATCATCAAATCAATACATTCACGCACTACTTGGAAATTAATCAAATATTTTTTTGTTTTAAGTTAAGTTCTGGAGTTCTTTTAAGTTCTAAGACACTAATAATTGTAACGAAGACTAATAAATAATAATTAAAACATTACCTTAGTAAAAATGTCAAAACAAATATTACATCGTAGTTCTGATTCGATGTTTCTAATGATTTGGTCTATTTGATTTTTCCCATCATTTTCTATAGCAAATTGTTGACTACGTTTAACCTGCAGATTATTAACCTCATTATATATATGTGCTCTTTCTGTTGGCATGATATCTGGGACTGTATCTTCAGAATTTATATCTTAGAACAAAAGTATAATTTTTAAATAAATATTAAATCAAACTAAAATTACTGTTAAATAATGTTAATTTAAATTAGCAGATATTTATTAACGAAACAAATAAATATTACCTATTGAACTACTCAAATGTTGATCTTCAACTTCAGTATCGTTTTGAGATCTACAGAAGATGTCATAATGATATTATCAGTATGATAATTAAATAATTAGAAATATAAGACTATACCTTAACTCTACTAAATTAGACAATATTGGACGTCTTGGTCTGTTTCTTTGTGTGATGTTACTTATTTGAATTGAAGTTAAGTCCATTCTGTTGGATGCAGGGAGAACCTCTTCGTCATCTACAGAAAGATAATTGATAATAAAATTAGAATTTTCAATACACGCGAATTATGGTTGTTTTTCTTCATTTTTTTCATAATATATTATATTATAAAGTGAAAGAATCATGCGGGCAAACATCATTGGGAATAAACTACTTGTACGTTGAGTACAATGTTACTTTAAATAAATAGATGTAAAATGTAAAAACAGCACTCGGACCTAATCGATGAATTGGTGTTAATATTGGACGTCTTGGTCTAATTCTCGGAGAACTCTGTGCATTTACTCGAACCGAAGTAAAGTCAATTTCAGTGACCGTTGCAGAAAGGATCTCTTCGTCGTCTGTAAAACGATATAAGTTAGATCAGTAAGAATTTCAATAAAAAATTAATTATAGTTATATTATATTATTTTTTTTCTTAATTAATGTAGAATTAATTTTTACAATCAAATAACTAAGATTGATCTCTATAAAAGTCGTCAGGAATACATTAATATATCAATTACAAAATTAATCTATACAGAATGATGTAAAAAAAGCATTTCGACCTTGTCGGGACATTAGTGAAAATGGTGGACGTCTTGGTGTTCTTCTCGAAGTACCGTTGGTTAATAAGCTTGATAACTGTACTGAAACCGAAGTTAACTCCGTCTCGGTAATAGGTGAGGGTAGAATGATTTCATCATCTGAAAAACGATGAATGGTTTATTATTTACAGTTTTCGATACAAATGAAGCTATCATAATTGTAAAAGAATATTGTTAATATAATACCTCTTAAAAATCACTGTTAGTACATGCCATGGAAAAAGAACACTTTACTACGATACGATACTTACGGTGTTGAGTTGAACTGCCCAGGTCATCGGAATTCCAATAATGATTACCAAAATGCATGATCCGATCTTAGTGTTTAAACTTTTGATGATAAACGCAATACCGATGTGCAATCGGTGAATGTATAATAGAACGTTGCCACACACTGAGTCAACAGGGTTCTTTTATACAAAAAAATCAAACTTGATAAACAAAAGCTTTCTCGTAAGAAAATGTAAGATCGTAAGATGAAACTAAGTCAACGAAAACATCAAACATATAGTCATTGAGTTACCTTGGTTACCTATTTCTAAATTTATTATTTCCTTATACTATATGTTAGTTATATTGAGTCGTACATTAATTAATATAGATTAATAACGAATAAAAGCAAAAATTGTATAATAAGTCGTTACACCCTTTTTATTTCCGTGTTACAAATGTAACCTTTCGAATTTTATGAAGTGTTAAGGATTTTCTTGCTGATGTTGGTTGAGGAGAGAGTACGTACTTACTCATTTATTTTTGAAACAAAATTTAAATATTTTTAGTTTCATAACGAAATTCATAGTTAAGATAACCATTGGTGCCGAAAACGTATGGAAAGTGGGGTAAGTACCCCGGAAATTGTTTAGGTGATGGGTGGGTGGTTAGACTTAATGAGTGCTAGATATATTATTGTACGGTAAAATATTCCATAATATTATGTAATTACTAGATGTGTAGTAAATACTCGTATTTAACAAATATATTTGTAATAGTAGGTTTTGTGTTAGTATTTTTTGAATGTTTTTTTTTTTTTGTCTATAAAAATCTGAGAACTGAAGAAGATAGTACTGATATCAAGTCATTCACAACAACAGATAATGACGAAGAGGAAACAAATAGACAAATTAAAGAATCTGAGTGCAATGTACTAAATTATTTTGAAGTCAATAAAATAAAACAATTAACAGCTTTCACTCTTTAAAAAGGTGTTGTAGATGGCCATAATATGTTCAAGACCACAAAGATTTATTTTGAAAAAAAAAAATGTTCTTCTAATATAATTAACTTAAAACAAACTAATATAACTTAAATTTTGATATTTATAAAGGTTATACAAGATTTTAATAATTTTAAACTATATCTACATTATATTGTAAATCATAAAAACATTTTTTAGTACCAATATTCATTTGCTTTATTTATTTGGTATTTTATTTTTAAAATGTACATTTACTCTGTATAGCGGTCACTTGGAAAATAAATAAAATTTTTTCTGTTACCGGTTACTTTTGTAGGACGAACACCTCTAAATAGCGGTTATTAATTCCGGTTTCTTTATTAACCATTTCATGAGAGTTCTATTGTACTATCATTATCTATATTTAAATATTAAAATATAATAATATATTATAATATGTATTGTATATTATATACTTATAAACATAATGTGTATTTATATATTATGCTTCGGTAGGCAACACCTTGTTGCTTTGTCTTGTACATAGGTATGTACTTGCATTATTTTACTTGTAATTATGTTAAAATGGTAATACAGAATACTAAAGCATAATTTAACAAAGTTTGTGACACTAGTGCCCCAAGTGGTAATTTAATGCAACCCAGTGGTGGGTGACAGTTGTGCACAGAAGATTTTTGACAAGGGTGTTGAAAATATATATTTCAAGGTACCCACCGCACCCCAACCAGTAAAATCTGAGTTTAGGCATAGTATAACTCTTATTTTTAAGTATTTTTGGTTTTTTCTTACCAAAAAAGATACTAAAAATAAACTTAATATTAATTATTTTTCAGTTTTCTGCGTATTAATTTATAAGTTTGTATAGCATAATTTTTGGGATTGAGCCCTACTACTTATTCTCATGGGACACTTTAATTCTAAGATAAACATAATTAGAATGTTGATTTGGATAGCTGAAAAATTGGTAAGTATTAAATTAAACAAATATTCATACAAGTTCACACAGAACTAGCGGTCCACCAATTCTCTGCGGGGTGTCGTCGACACCTGACACTCCCTGTGTGCGTCACTCATATCAGTATCATAAATTAATGTTATGTATTTATTTTAATCATATATATTATAAATGTATTCATAGCAATATAGCTATCAGTGATCCAGAATATTATTAATATACCTAATATTAGTTCCCAAATTTGTTGTTATCGCGTTCGGCAATAACAGTGGCGTGCCTACTATACAAAAAAAGCATTGATTTTAGAATATCTAAAAGGTTCATGAGGATCTATCTCCTATACTTTCCGTGGGTAGACCCCTTAGAGGGGCTCCATTTTTTTTTTTTTTTATTGCGACGGGGCTTAAAATGTCTAAATACGGCACTAATGAACTCAAGAGATTACTGATAAAGTATGTTATTTAATCAATACTTTCAAGGTGGTCATCTTGCAATAATTTTGATACAGGAAGATTATTTTCTTATCAGTTTTCTTGATAAAAACCGACAAAATGTTATAAAATACGGCAAACATGCCGTGTATCGACCATTTTAAGAAATATAAAATGATCAACACGACCTCTTTCATTTAAAATCAGTTTTTTTTTCTTGAGCAACGATGCATTGATGTCGGGTTTAATAGTTTAAACACAGCAATACCATTCAATCACAGTGAAACTTACCCGACCTAGGGTCTTTTTATTGCATTTCGCGTTGATGATTTTAATAATTATTGTCACCGTGGTTTCCAACGCAGGTCATTGTTTCTACGAATAAACGAATGGACTGTTGTGCGCAATATGCAACCAATGAGTTTCGTATAAAAATGAAATAAGAAACAGTAATCACATGTTTTCGTATTATTATTACAATTATAATCATTATCGTTTATTCGTATCGTGTTTAACGTCCACGGACCAAGTGCGCCGTGTTGGTGTAAAACGAAAAAGCGAAAACTTTGCAGACGTAATTCATATAGCAATATGGATAGCGGAAAAGCAGTGAATACCTGTGCGGGTGAAACTTTTCGCGATTTCCGAAAATCGGGGTATCCTGCAGATTGCAATACCGTGTATTATATTACAGCGTGTACGTTTTCAAACCCGTGACAACGTGTCATTGTTATTAAAAACTTTGGATTATTAATGAACACACCCAGTGTTATTAGAAACTGTCGCGGTGCTGTATGTGCGTATCACGGAACGACTGTGCGATGCGTGAAGATTGCTAGCGGATGGAAGGGGTGGGACATGCGGATTTTAGAATATTTGCATACGAGTGGGAAAAGTTCGGCGATGCGAAGGAGGGAAACGAAAACGAGACGCGGATAAAATAAAACCGGCAAAACGGCAAGCTTGTCGTTGGAGGTTATCGCGATAAATCCTGACCGAAACCCCGCGTCCGATTTTAATCACTAAAGATCTTTAAGAAAGCCGCTGGTAGAAGTTTCTCGGCTAGAGGGGAAAATAAAAAATAAACACAATTTGACTTAATAACGTGCATATGAAATCATGGTGATTTTGAAGCACTAAACGTTCGTTGACAGAAAAAAATTAAATTTTTTTGTTAAAAAATATATATATATATATATAAAAGTATATTTTATTAGAATACAATTAGTTCACTAAGAAATCATGTTCTTACGATTTAATTTCTCTACTTTTCAAACGTAAACGTGTAATTTTATTTATTAAATCACTAGTAAGAATTACATTTTATTTATACTGCAATTATAATTAATTGCAGTGATAAAATTGTATAAATTATGATCCACATCTGTATTATTTGCATTGTTACTTTGACTAAAAAAAACGATTATAAGACTAAGAGTGAAGGATGTTATTTTAAAAAATACACATTTTTTTATTATTTTTTTCTTATTTTAATTTTACATTAAAACGTTAAAATGTTTACGAAAAAAAAAAAAAAAAACGTAAATTAATTTAACTATTTCCTTCCTCCGTAGACCTCGGGAACTCGAATATATTTGTGTTTTCATGATGCTCGAAAGATAACTGTAGTAATTAATGATGGAGTTTTTCACAACATCCGAGATGAAGGTTTATTGTACTCGAAAACGGTAGCCAGTTGTAATAAAACGGAGCTTCTGAGTCCATATTTTACAATTTTAAAACAAATAAAACAATTAATTCTGTAAAAACTTATTATTGATCCTATTAGTTGATCCCTATCCATTCGGTCAGTTAACATTTGAACATATGACAGCGGACGAACAGTATTAACTGTATCAACTCTATTAACCTACTCTCATTGAGAAATGAAAATTTCCTAAAATATAGTCAGCTTATTGAAGAAAGGTTCTCTGAAAAAAATTTAATGAAAAATATAAAGACAAATTGGGTTGCAGTTAGTGTGAATAGGAAGCTACGCACAAAATAATTGATATGAATAATGGTGAGTTTGTAATTAATTATATATATATATTACAATATCAGTACATAATTATTAATATTTATTATTACTTTTATATTATAAACCGACCGTCGACCGATAACGGATCCAATTTTCTACGTGCAGCGGACGAGGCGCGGAAGCCGACGTCGGCTCACCTTGCCGATCCGCAACCGTTGACGGCTGGGCTGGGCCGAAACATCCGGAATACTAACTACTATGGTACGGAAATTGATTAAATATACATAGATAGTCCACGGTGTAGGAAAATATGGAAACCTATTAAGTAATAAGCAAAATATGACAATAGATAGCGTTAAGTGTCATAATTAAAAAAAATAATTATTATCGAATTTAGATAGGCTGAGTATGTCGGGTAGTTGATGATTCCATGTCTACTACAGACATGGAATCATCAACTACCTGACATTGGATATTTAAGCATACTTCAATAATTATTAATTATTATTTTAATGAGTTTAATTATT